AACAACAACAAAAGGCCGCGCATTTTCCGCTCTTCTCACGCCGCTCAGCCGCATCGCCAGCAGCAGTGGCGGCACGGCCTGCACGGCACGGATGAGCGCCTCAAGGAGCGGCGCTGCGCTGCGCTGCCGGTGCGTTATTAGATTAATGGTGGCGGCCACAGCAGTGCCTCATGCAGCTGGCGCGCGGCCCGCAAGGTGCACTACCACTGCATTAGGTGCATTACACGCCGCTGTCACAGAGCAGCGCGTCACCGTAAACGAGTCGTGTTTCACGCGCTTCATGTCGAGCGCAGGAATTCCAAAACTTTAATGCGCGCATCGGGTCGCAAATAATAGAGGAAATAAGTTTGTATAGTACAGAAACTATATTGCAAAAGCAGTTGCTAGAAAACGTTATTTTAACATTCCGATGTTCTGTTCCATACATTTCATAGTTTGAATATTCTCGATCATATTGAATTTTTGAGCTTTAGAAAGTTTTGAACGGTTGCGAAAGCCTTCGTTAAGATCGTTCCTCGCATAACCGTCCCCCTAGTCGGCTGCTGCAGAACCCGATGCAGTCACTTTTTATTTCCCAGGTCCACTACAACTAGCTTGACCGCAATTAGGAAGGCGGGCAGGCAAGCGGGAGCATCCATCGTGACGGGGCACACCATCCCTCTGGTCTCTGGCCGGCGGCGGCGGCGGCGCTGGCCGCCCGAGGGGTTCCCAGGGTGGTTCCCACCCGGGTGCGCTATGACTCTCCCGCGCCGCCACGCCCCCCGCTCGGCCGCGCCGCCCTACTTGGAGGCGCAGCGGACCGTGAGGAGGGCAGCAGATGACGCCGCCCGTCCTCGGCCGCCGCCCCCTCTCCTTGCCCCGCGCCGGCCGCGCCTGCCTACGTCTCAAGGACGCGCTCCCGCCCGCTCCCGCCGCCGCCTCTCCCCCGGCCCGGAGAGCCCGGCCGGCCCAAGACGGCCTTGGCGGGGGGCGAGGAGCAGAGGCCGTCAAGGCGATGAGGCCCTGGACTGACTGGTGACGCCCCGGGGGTCCGGCTGTTGCATGCGGCTCCGCTCCGCCCGGGCCGCCCGGCGCGCAGCAGGTGGACTGGACTGGCCGCGGCGAGGGGAGCGGCTCGAGACTGGAGTCTTCGGACTGGAACGGCCGCCCGGAGGCCATATGGGCGAGTGGCTGCTGCTGCTGCGGCCGAGCCGCGGAAGGAAGCGGAGCAGCGAGACCATAAGGCACCCCGCTATCGCGACAGGCATCACGTCAAAAGATGCATGGGGAAAGAGAGGAAAGCCTGTTTTTATTTCTCGTTGGGGAGAGAAACGCTTGGCTGCGCCGCGCGCGGGGGCGACGACTTCCTAAGGGGGTGGCGGCGGCGGAGGTGGTGGTTGCACCAGCCGACCCCAACGACCCCAACGGTCACTCAGCGACAGGTGGCTGAACGACGGACCGCTCAATCTGCACAACGAATGCCAGACACCCGCCCGCCGAGAATCCGGTACGCACTCACTCGAGCGCAATTGCAACGTATCTTTGACTCTGGCTGCTGTAGTCGACGCTTTGGTTTCGTCAGCGGTTCTGTAAAGCTGAGCGGTTTTGGCCGACGATCAGCCTACGCATTGGAGGCCCACTCTCGCCTTGCCCGATGCCCACCGTAACGGCCGCGGCTTACAGAGAGCACTGCCGCGTCGGGTTGAGCAGCATGATGTTGCAAAATGTTGTCGTCGTGGGAAAACAAACACGACTCAATCATAACTCCGACAGCGAGACACGGCGGCCGCGAGGCCTCGGCGGCGGCGCGCCGCGACCCTCGCCCAGATTTGTTTGCTCACGGGGGGAGTTGAGGGGGGGGGGGGGTAAAGGGTTTAGCAGCGGCGGGCGCGACAGCTGTGCGCGCGCTGTACGGTGCGGTGCGGTGCGCGGGTTCTGCAGGAGCGGCTGGCTGAGGACGATCAGCTTCAAGGAGAGACGCAACAGCGGCCCATGGCACGGCCCTGACGGACCCATGTGTATAGGGACCACACCCGACTTCGGTTCGAGCACTGCAGCGCCGAAAGTAAACGCGCCGCACCCTTATACCACCACCTGGATCCGGCCGCCGCCCCCCCGCACCCGCGAGCGAACTTAAAGCGTCCTTTAACAATTCACGAAGAGTAGCTAGCAGCGCGCCGGCCCGCGCACAACACCGCGCTGTGTGTGGCTCCCATTCGTTTTCCAAAATCATTACTGTCATGCGATTTCCGGTGCGCCTGAAATCCCTAGCCGCTCGCGCTCGTGCGAGGCCCGCCGGGCCGGGGGCAGTATACAGGGCGAGGGCAGGTGTCAAAGAGTCAAGCGGGTGGCGCCGC